AATGGAGAAAAGTGTTATATGACAGGTGATTTTGGTCGAATCGATGGAGAGACAGGTGAACTAATATTTATGGGAAGAAAAGACTATCAAATAAAGCTTCGTGGACAACGTATTGAGTTATCAGTAATCGAATCAGTAATAATTCAATCATCATCAGATATCTTGAATTGTATTGTAATTAAAGAAGAAGCATCGAACGATAGCTACTTATCCGCTTATATAAAACTAAGAGGAGACAAAAACAAAAATAACATTCGTACTGAACTTATCGAGATTTGTCATAATCATTTACCTTCATATATGATTCCATCAAAATGGGTTTTTGTATCTGAATTTCCATTGAATGTCAATTGTAAAATTGATCGATATCAATTGTTACATCTTTCAGAAACTGTTGATTTACAATCCTTATCTCCATCATTAATGACATTGTCGCCACTAGAAAAAAAATTAGAAGATATTTTTCTTCGTGCTTTTAATCTAAAAACATCTCCTGACATATCAAAATCATTTGGTCAACTTGGTGGAACATCATTAGGTGCTATGCATGCATTGATCTTAATCCGACAAGAAGTATTTGAAGAAATGGATATTAGTCTTCTCTTTACGAATCCATCAATACAACAATTAGCTACAGTATTAGAACCACTTTTAAATAATCTGAAATCTGTCGAAGAGAAAATCACGAATGAGGAGAACTTTGCTATTAGACCTACTTCATCATGGTTCATTGAAACATTCGGTATACTATTACTGGCATGGCAATGGTTATGGCCATTTTATATTGCAAATCATTTCAATATTTTTTTTCTTCGAATATTATTCATTCTATTGATACATTTATTCCAATATCCTCTATTTCTTAAAATTTTAAATAGACCATTTCTACGCAATCGTGATGCTTTGTATTCATGGTCTTATTATCGTCTATGGTTTTTACGACGTCAGTGGTCATTGAATAAATATTGGTTAGGATATTTGTTTGGTACTCGATTTTATAATATGTATCTTCGTCTATGTGGCGCTCGTATCAATGACACAGCACAAATCTATACCAGTGAAATTGATGCACCTTGGCTGATTGAAGTGGGTAATTTTAGTTACATTGGTGAAGAAGTTGTTCTCTCGTCTGTTAGTTATCATGATTATATTTATGATTTACATGAAATTCATATTGGATCTCATTGTTCGATTGAAACAAGAAGTGTTCTACATGATCGAGTTGATATGCATGATGGAGTATTTATAGCTCCATTAACAGCTGTTACAGGTCGAATTCTTGGAATAAATGTCGATAATAAAATTTCAAGTGAATACCATCTTAGTCATTCGATATTTCAGTTTATGATGATCTTATCAATGATTTGTATCCATTCATTTATTCTTCAATGGAGTTGGTCTGCATTGCCTTATCTATCTGTATGTTGGTTTATTTGGTCAATTGTGGGTACAGCCGTTAGTTTACTTCTTCTTCGATTTGTAGTTGGTAATGTTGAAGAAAATTTTTCTCATTCATATAATTCCTGGCCATTTCTTCGTCGATTTTGGTTACGTCATTTAGTTATACATTCATTTAGTCCATGTTTATCAAGTATTTTAGATGGATTAAATTTTATTACTCCATCGATACTTCGTTGGTTAGGTGCAACAATCGAAAATAATAATATTGAAATTGTAGATTTTGTTCCACTTTTATCAATACCATCGAATCTTTTAACAATCAATTCTAATGTGACAACAACATCAGAAATCTGTTTTGTTCCATATGATATTACTATTAATGGTCAATGTGTTGTCAATGGTCGAATTCAAATTGATCGTCGATCATTTCTTGGTAATAATTGTCTTATTCGATCAGGTGTTTCTATTCCAGAAGATGTTCTTATTGGCTCTTTAACACGAATTGATTCAACAACAATTATAATGAAAAGTTAGTAAAGATTTTTGCATTAGTAATGTCTCATTTGTTATGTTTGAAAATTATGTTTAGATGATATTCTTCTTGGTGTTCCAGCTCAACCCATGCCATTCATTTTATCAGATATAAACGAAACACAAAAAGTAACTAATGATTTTCAACGAATTGCCATGGAATTTATTCATTTAGTTTTACTTGATATATGTATGATACTCAGTCTTATGATCACTTCTAATTTTAGTCAATTCTTGTTGATAGTACCAACTTTCATACTCATCTATTCATTTCTTATTCAGTTTATATATGTCTATTTAATGACTGACAAATCAAATCAATCATTTGATATAGTAGATTCAAATTGGAAGACATCATTAGCAATGATATTATATTCTCAATATGCAAAATATATAGGTCGTTTATTAGGTGGCACACAATGGCTCATCATTATTCTTCATCAATTCGGTGCACATATTGGTAATGATGTTATCATTGATGATATCAATTCATTATATGATGTTCAATTGATTACGATTGATGATCATGTACGTCTCTCATCAACATGTCAAATCCAAGTAGAGTTTCATTTTAACTATTTCCAAATATTTTTCATCTCTCTCTCTCTGAATAGTGTCATACATTTGAACAACGTCATTTGAAACTTCGTCCTGTTAAAATTGGTTCATATTGTATTTTTAAAGCAATGTCATTCGTATTACCTGGTGTAGAATTTCTTGGTTATAATTATTTATTTCCTTGTTCACTTGCTTTACCTCATGATCAATTCAAAAGACATACGGATTGGTTTGGATCACCAACAAAACGTCTTATTGTACATCATGGTATTGAACCACCACGATTAATACTTGCTCAACAACCATCATCGATAGATAATTACGATGTAATTGTTGCACGAACTGATGATGATATTCTTAGTCTTTATTTTGGAGAAAATGGATGGATGAGTTGGCAATCAGGTCTCAATTTACGACAACCATTTCGACCGAATGATATTTATATAAGATTATTTTTTTCATCATTTCTATGTAATTCAAAACCTAAACGTATTCTTATTGTTGG